TCCAAGGGACTGTAGGGTCGATGTACATGCAATTGGTTTTCGCAGGAATGGATTTAGAAAATGAGAAGATGGTAATGTCCTTAAATGAAAATAATAAAAATGTGCAATGGAAGAAGTTTCTGGATATTTTCCACTATATTCGGACCGAAAGCGGTCTGAAAATGGAAAGCGTGGAAGATTCTCAATTCTTTGCATATATGCAGACCGTGATCGGTCCGTATATATTCATACTAAATTTCATTTAGCTTTCAGGAAAAAAAATCCCTCGGATTGCCTATATTCAGACCGATCCCGGTCCGTATATATATATACAGACCGGGATCGGTCCGTATATTCCAATGAACAACAGCTTTTTTTTTTATTTTTTTATTTCATGCTTAAGTCGTTTTACTCTTGTTTTAAACCGTAACATTCCGAATGTTTACAAGCCAAAGTGGTTAACCTTAAGAAAAAAAATGAATTTTATTTGGTTATTACTTCGAAAGAACATTACGTAACATTATCTCTAATAACCTTTAACTTATACGTTCGTGGTTTTGTAACGATATTATTCCGTAGTATCGTAAGATAATTTTAGCTAGACAATCGATGGTTTTGTGGTTCCAAGGGACTGTAGGGTCGATGTACATGCAATTGGTTTTCGCAGGAATGGATTTAGAACATGAGAAGATGGTAATATCCTTAAATGAAAAGAATAAAAATGTGCACTGGAAGAAGTTTCTGGATTTTTTTCTACTATATTCGGACCGAAATCGGTCTGAAAATGGAAAACGTGGAAGCTTCTCGATTCTTTGCATATATCCAGACTGGGATCGGTCCGTATATATTCATACTAAATTTCATTTAGTTTTAAGAAAAAAAACCCTCCGACTGCCCATATTCGGACCGATCCCGGTCCGTAATTAATTTATGCGCCAAATTTTTTTCGTTGATTTGAATCTTATTAATTCTGCGGTAATTTATTTATATTCAGACCGATTTCGGTCTGAATATTATTAATGCGCCAAAATTTTTCCCGAAAAAATTGAAATTTTTCCAAAAAAATTGAATTTTTTGGTGGCGCCGCGCCATTGAGGATTATACGGACCAACTTCGGTCCGTATATGTCTTATATATATCACAACTTCTCTTCCATTTCCTCATTTCCTCTTCTTCCTCTCTTTCTTTTCCTTTCTTCCTCTCTTTCTGCCTCCCGTCCCCTTCTTCTTTTTCTTCCTTTTTTTTTTTTCAACTTCCCTTTCTCCCTCACTTTCTTTCCCTTCTACTTCTCTTCTTTTCTCTCTTCCCTTTTCTTTCTCATTTCCTTCTTTTTCCTTTTCTTTCCTCTATTTTTTCTCTCCACTTCTTCATCTTTTCTTTTTCCTGTTTTTTTTTTT